GGGGAATTGACAAACCGGACGAATTTATTAATAATCATCATCAAAAAAAAAAAAAAGTAATACATGTATATATTTTAATTGGTCTGCTGCCTACTTTTATTCATGACAAAGGGTTTCACCTGGAACCTTTTTGTCTTCGTGCGCTTTCAATTACAATCAATAATGAAACGTTTATGTTCCATCAAGGCCTGGATTCCTGAAAGAAAAAAAAATCTCGGCTTGCGTTGCGATGCTGCGCGCGTTCATCATTCCACGATTGAACAAGCAGGATATAAAAAAAGTCATAAGGAATTAAGAAAAAATCATTGATGATCTGTTAGATTTTGGTTTTATCGATCTTCGTGGAGGTGTCCTTTTTTTTTTTTATATATATATATATATATATATAAATATATACATTTTATTTTGTAAATCATCATAACTTTTATTATGTCGCACATCAATTTGTATCATACAGGGCGAGTGGAGCATTTTATTTGTAAAAAGAAAAATTATTAATTTGTAAAAATTAACGTACGCCAATTTGTTTATATGGCGTGCATTTTTAAAGTTAAAACAATATGTAACAGGTGACATGTTGATGACATCAAAAATCGTCTTTCTAGATTGCGAGGGAGGGGTGAGGGTGAAAGGAAAAAAAAAAATCATGAAATAAAAATAAAACAAAACAAAACAAAAAAAGAAATCCTGTAAAGTAACAAAAAAAAAAAAAAAAAAAAAAAAAAATGTAAAAAAAAAAAAAAAAAAATATAAAAAAAAACAAAATAATAATTTTTTTTTTTCTCACCTCTCCCTTTTGATCCAATTAAAATACCATGATTGTAACACGAAGAAAGTTGGTCGTTTACCCAGTTTTTTTTCTTTCACCTTATTTTTCAACAAGAAATGTTCATGCATGAGCGAACATCATATCATGTATGTGATGGGTGATTATAATTATAATATACCCTATTTTATACCTTCAATAAAGATTATTCGGTTTATAAACTTTTTATCATGTCGAATTTATTATATGGGTAACCATTCAAAATTTCTAGCAAAACGCCTTTACGCATGAAAACGCAATCGGGTATCGAAATTTTTTTTATACTTTTTTGATTAATCTCCTGATAATTTAGAGTTTTTAGACTCCGGACTTAAACGATTGCTCCGATTCAACTTCAAAGAATTCGAATGATAGCGTAATCCAATCGTGGCACACCCGCCACACAACCTAATCCTGCAGATTCCCGAGTTCTAACTTTAATCATTATAATAAAAATCATTTTAAAAATTTATATGAAGGCAAAGATTCGGAGTTTTCTCATCATTTGAAATTAAATATGGTCAAGTTGGAATTTTTTTTTTTCTTTAAAAACCAATTAGATCAATTCGAACTTTTTAAACAGGTATTTCCACTGTTTTATACGTTATTTTTTAAGAAGAAAGAAACAGGTCTATTTTAAATTTTACGGGAGAGCAACATTCGTTTTGTTTCCTCAATAAATGCTTTTCACCCTCCTTATTCAATCAACAACAACAATTAACCAAAAAGAGTTATAGTAAAAAGATAAGGACCTTCTTGAAAAATATTAATATTTCCTGAAATGGACAATTTAGTTTAATTTTCTATTTTAAAAATTACAAAAAGACCAAGGATGTATGAAACATTGCTTTTTTGTACGTAATAGTCGGGCCTCGGGACCTTTTACTATGATCATTAAATAAAAAGAATTTAATAAAAACTGAAACAGGTTATTTACTATAATTAACTAAATCAGGAATAGAGCAGCAGAGTGGCGGATTATTCACGGCACGTATGTACCACGCCACGAACGGTCATTGATATCCAATTTTGGAAAGAAAGAATGGGCCCGGACAGGGAAAAGGAACAACGGAAGGACCGGTTTGATAGTTTTACTTGCATTCGCGCGATTTCCAATGAATCAATGGATTTCGGCTAAATTTAGAATCATTGACAATCTGTAGGGATTAGATTTGGACCTTCATTCGCAAAGATCACATTGATCACATTTGATCACATTTTTTTGGGATTTCCGTGATAACCAAAACAACTAGCATGTGGTATCCGTAACTCTCTAGATGATTGAAAATCCGACTTTATAATTAGCGACACCTATTATTGAATATTTCTTTTTTTTTTAAAAAAAAAAAAAAAGTAAGCGAACCCCGGAACGTTTTCCCGTAAATTTTCCTTTAGGAAATTTGATAACTAGAAATTTTTTTTTTATTATTCCGAATTTCAGACGTTGGTAATTCGAAACTTTTTTTTTTGGGTGCAACGGTCTTTTTTTTTCCCAGCATTTAAACAATCATCAAGCTTATCAATGAATTCAAATCAAGTTTTGTGCTAATATTGGTTAGAATTTACTTCGGAAAAAGATTTTTTTCAAGGCGGGAATAGAACAATTACGAACCTGTTGCCAATTGTTACAACGTCAATGATAACGAGGTGTTATGTAAACGCCAATGTAAACATTCTCAAAACTTTTTCAACGTCAAACTTTAAAAAAAAAAAAAAAAGAAAAAGGATAAAGAAACTGCGGCTCATGACAATTAATATTTCGCATGCATGTCGCTGCGGGATGATATGTTGGCCGTTCGTACGACGTAAAGAAGTGGTACTATATTATACGCAGCAGTAATTGTTGTCCATTATGAAAGCCTTGTACGAAATCGCGCTGGAGTAAATAAAAGAATTCTTTGGAATTCTTTGGAAAGTTGCCAGATAATTATCAATTCATTAACATGTGTAAATTCATTTTAAAATTTCCTTTCCTTTTCTCATCATTGAATGAAAAAGACGAAACAATTCCTTTTTTTTTCCTTTTTGTTTATTTATGAATTTCACGCCCATGAAAAAAAAAAAATTATATTTACGCCTATAATGTAAATACGTCTTAGGTTTTTAACAATTTTGCGAATTCATGATTTAAAAATTTAAAAATAAATAAAACGAATGAATTCGATGATGATCACATGACCACCCACACATGTATAATCCAAAACCCCAAGTTCCCCTTAATCATCGTTTTGTAACTTCTTATTATGGAATTTAATTTCAATGCATAATATATTTTTTTTTGATGTCATTTATAAGGTTACTGCTATTCCATGAGAGAACTAAGTTTGAATCAGCAAAAGTGGCCTGTTTCAACTTAAAAATAAATTTCTTGGCTGTTTGAATGGGGTTTCAAATGAGTAAAAAAAGAAATCTTTAAAAAAAAATTAAAGATTATGAATCAGTAAATACGGATCTTCAAACAGTTTATAATGTTGTGTTCTTTAAATCAGAAAACAATCTCTTTGTTAGAAGGCAATTTTGATGGAAATTGAAAATGATCATAACCATTAAAATCAAAAAGTAAAAAGAAAATTAATAAATATTTACCTTTTTTTTTTTTTTTTTTTTTAAAAAAAAAACAATACGTTGGTTTTTAATGTAAATAAATAAAATGAAAATATAACGGAATAATTCAAAATAAAATTGGAAAAAAAAAAAAAAAAAAAATATAGTTAAACTTAAAACCTTTACAATTCATTAATATGCAACTTATGCAAATGAATTGGTCAAGTATGCAAATGTAAGATTCCGGTAATTAAATATTTTTTTTTTTTTTTCTCATTGATAAGATTGTATCACTTTTTTTTTATTTTTATGCTTTATTTTAAAAAGATACAATGAAAAGTATAATCGAATGATTAAAATAACAAAAACTCAATTAAAAAGATGATCAATACCTTATCATCAGAAATAACAATCTTAATCTATTTTTTTTTTATTTTTTTATTTATTTCGAAAGCAAAGGTCAATGACGACTTGAAACTATTTCCTTGAACACGTGTATTAACCTTTGCGCCGACATTTATTTATACCAAGTATACGAAATACTTTTGACATACTATATTTAAAGTTCATAGCCTAAGCTTAATACAAAGCACAGCATTTTATTTTTCAAATTGCCGTTTTACTTGTAGAATTCAGGTAATCGAACCAACTAAATAAGATACATAAAATGAATCCTTTAAAGAATAGCATCAAAAAGTCAATAAATCACTAAATTTGTATATCCAATTAAAAAAATAATACAAAGAACATACAACTGAAAAATTTCTTTTTTTTTTTATAGATAATATGATAGACAAACAAAGGATAGTCGCCCCAGCATAGTCGTTACCAATAAAGTTAATGAAGTGAGAAAAAAAGCAAATTTTACAGAGAACTTTCAAAAGATACAAATAAAGCGATAAGTCGATCAATGATACCAAAAGAGAAAATTAATTTATCCATTGGGATAAAATTTATTTTCTATATTTAGCCGCAGCACTATAAGATTATCAAAAAGAAGATAATGCGATTTATCATGTATTACGTTGTAATTGGAGGAAATTTTGCATGGATTTCCAAATAAAAAAAAACAAAATAAAAAAATCAGAAATTTGAAAGCATTTTTTCCCTTCCGATGATTCCTCGCGCGCTAGTCTTCGCTAATAATTTTTACTCAAAGACGTGGGCGTCTAACTCGAACGTGTGACAGAATTTTTTATTTTGCATACAAGAGTAAATATTTTTTTTTAAAAAAAAAAAAACGTTGATTTTTTATTGAATTGATCTATATCGTAACATGTTCTTGTGAATTTACAAAAATAAACGAAACACAAAATAAAAAAAAAAAAAGACTGGAAGAAAAAAAAAACAATTGAAAAGGCGAAGGAAAATTAATCTGGTTCAATAAACCAGGAAAAAACAAAAAAAAAGAAGAGTATTCTATCTATTTCATGATATTTACAAAATTGGTTATCTAAGAAAAAAATGTTAACATACATTTAGTATTTAATTTAATATTATATATAATAGCTTAAGAGGTTTTTTTTTTTTTTGTGAATGAGTGGAGAGAAGAGAATATATAAAAATAATTATTCAATGCCGTGGAATGATTTTGATTTATTTTTAGCATATAAAGAGAAAGATTTGTAATTAAATTAATAATAAAAAGTTCTTAAATCCATTTAACTTGCATAAAAAATTCCCAGAGTTTGCTTGCTTTATTAACATCAATTCTTAGAAGTTTTTGCGCATCACTTTTACGGAAGGGAAGCGATTTTTGCGCATACCTTCTAGCGGATGAGATCAAGGTATGCTTCGCCGTTAAATATTGTACAGGGGTAAGACGTAAAGTTGAAGCCACATGAGCCTCTTTTTGGTGCAAAGAATTATGATGAGGTAAATGTGATATGGATAACGGTTGTCCTTTCCAATTGATCTTTGGATTCGTACGATGAAGCGTGGTCAAATCAAGATTTAACTGATCAATGCTCTTCATCAATTCATCAAATTGCATCGGAGGGGGTGGTGGTATGCGAATCGGTTTTATTTCTCCCGCGATAACTATAGGAGTCAAGGTAGATTCTAAGAGACCACGATCCGCCATAACTCTGGCGAGGCTGTTTCCTTTGCGCTTCCTTTCGGAAATAATTGGTTTCGATCGTTTGGTTTTAGTTTTCGTCTTGGTGATTTGACCCTTTGATGACGAACGTGGGCTGTGCGGTGGAGATGATTCGGTACCAGATGAACCATCGGTGAATGATGGTGACATGGGATCACCGCCGGTCGGTGTTGAATATGAATAAACCTTTGATGGCCCATTCCTTCGTAATAGTGCTTGCGGATCTTCTCTAAGCGTCGTGTAGACGTCCACTTGAAGGGTGATTCCGGGAGATGATTTGGAGGGAGCCTTCTTCGGATAAGGATTCTTCCTGATCCTATGTTTCTTTTCATCGTTAGATGATGACTTTATGGAATTTGTCTTTGTTGCGACATTAACGACAGGAGATGGCTTGTTTGATAAGGACGTTTCGTTCTTCACTTCGGAACGCTTAATGATCTCCAATAATTCCGGTGGGGCGTCACAGATCCTCATTCTAAATTTGTTTTTTGGTTTTGATTTGATAGGAAGGGTCTCGACACTTTTTCTTTGCTCGCCATCATGAGATGCCTCCCCATTTTTGAGAATGCTCATAATGCTCATGGCGGATGATGACGATGATGATTTGGTGACTTGATGAGATGAATAGATTGATGACTCTTCGGTTGTCTTTTTAGGTTCTGGAGATAACGGTGGTGAAAGAGGTGCGAAGGGTTTAACACCACCCACAGTAGCAATGGGAACCTGCATAAATAAACTTGAAGACATGATGTCTAAGAAGAAAAGATAATAAAGGTATAAAAGTTCGTTTGGCAAGCAAAAAACCTTGAAGGGGTTTTTAATTTTTAAATTTTTTGGTAGTTTTTATTATTTTAAAAAAAAAAAAAATTGGTTTTAAAAAATTTTTTGAAATTTTTTTTTTTTTTCCCTTAAACTGGCACTTAACGCGCTATATATATATTATTATATTGTTAAAATTCTCGGAGTTAAAAGAATAAAATAAATACCCGATAAGTTAAAAAGTAAATTTATAATATATACCTTTTTCAAAAATGGTTCACTTTAAAAAAATTTTTTTGCCAAGATTATTTGACATAAATAATAATTAATAATCGACTCTTTTTTTTTTATATAAAAAAGCAAAATCAATATAAATTAAAGAGTCGTTTAATTTAAAAAAATTTTTATTTTTATTGTATTACCTAATTAAAACGCCAATACGATATATTTCGAATATGTATATATATAATTTTTTTCAAATGCTAATCATTCCGCAGTAATTATAAATAGGCTAAAATTTGAATTGGTTATTCTTGAAGTGGTTTGATTGGATTACTGTTATTATTGTAGAAATGTAGTATCTCTATTAGGAGTTCTATTGTAATTTGTATAAAGTTTATTCTTCACTTTACTGGAAATTAATTGAACGTGACAGATAAGGAACGAATCTCAATCATGAAAGGGGGTAGATGTTAAATAAAGATAATTCGTGATAAAAAAAGATCACGCTGAGGTTGATACGCTTCCGGATAAAAATAGCAAATTATCAACGAATTGAAAAAAAAAATTTTTTTGAAATAATGAGATGAGACAAGACATTTGAAATTCCCTCTCTCTCTCTCTCTCTTTTTTTAAGGTTCCTATACGGCAAAATACATACCGTATTTGTAAATTTCGAATTCTAAGCGGAAAATTATATTCTTCAATGGAATTTCCTGAATACAAAAGCAGAAATATGGCGTAAAAGTACCCCGTCCAATCTAACCAGATAAAATACATTTCGTTCCTGCTCAAGGAGGAACGAAAAGGACTTTTTTTTTCCTTTTAGGAGCCTCCCGAATTTTTTTTTTTTTTTTTTTTTTTTTACAATAATGCCCAAATAATTTAAAATAAGTTACGCCAAGATAAAAATTATCCGTTTTGGTATAAGGCAATGGATTGATCAAAATTGCGCAGTTGTTTACTTGATTTATGAAATTTGCGATAAGAGGATTTTCATTGAGAAAATACCCGTCAAGCGCTTGTTATTTGGAAAATACGGTCCGAAATCGGAAATAACAACATGATGATTTGAGGTTAAATTCATTCTATGTAAATGAAATTAAAAAGAAAAAATTTAAAAATAAAAATAAAAATAAAATCACATTTCCTTCTGTTTGTTAAATATTTGTTTGACGTATGACTTATTTTGTTTATGGTTCGGCGCGTAATTATTCCCATCAGATCACTGCTTTTTTTTTTTAAAAAAATTCAAATTTGGACTATCTGTTGTTGCATCATAAACCGAATTCGATATGAGGATAATAATCCGAATTAGTGTAAGAATGCCTACCATTCTTCTATATAAAGTCAATAGAACGTTGGGTGAGTGCCGCGAGCCGCGATAACGGGAGTGTCCGACCATGCTCAAGGAAATCGTTTGTTGTTGCTAATGGATTCTACAAGAAAATAAAACAAAAGGCGGGGTGATAACCGAATGGGTAAGCGGATGCCGGTTATAATTTTATCCCTTCGTCACGTGAAAAATTGCCGGTGATCGTGGTGTCATTTTGACGTGATGTAGATCGGCACTTTTGCCTGAAAACTCCGGGTATGCGAACCCTTTCCCCCTGAATGTGTTCGTTTATATTGTTTACCAAATAAATTCAAGAAATGTCGCGTTATAATTTGTAAAAAAAAAAAAAAAAAAAAAAAAAAAAAAAAAAAAGTGTAATAATAATAATTAACTCCTTACAAGCAGGTTTGAGATATGCATATGAATTCGCGTTGACCGCATACAGTTATATTGCATCAATAAACCGAACATTCTTTTATAATTCGTTTCCCAAGCATGAACCTTTGTTTATATTAAATGAAGCGAGTACTATGTGTGCCTTAAATCTTTCACAACTGTAGTGGTTCATTGAATATCGATCATCACCATTGAGACTTGATGTTTTGCTTTTTTCGGTCTTTCCCGATGCGAACTGCATTATTGAATAGTTATCGTGTTCTCGGTCCTTTTTTTTTTTTTAAAAAAAAATATTCCCACATCAAATCTAAAAGCCTCAGATCTACTGTCTCCCCTAACCCTCATGATGTCCGTTTTTTTCAATTCATTTTGAAACGGATCATGCGAACACGGACCATACGCCCTTTGGAAAATGTTTTTACCTTTAAAAATATTAATATATGCATTTATAATTTTATTTATATTGATATAATTGTAATAAAAGATTATGCTTGAAATGACGAAAAATCAGAGTTAAATGTGACAGATGGCACTAAAAATAACACACACAAAAAAAAAAAATTATTGGTTCAACGAAAATATCGGAAATAACTTTATTTGTGCAATTAATTATATTTAACCCTATCAGTTTAGAATCAGCATTTCTCCCTGTCTTTTTTTTTTTTGTTTTCAACCCTAGTGATGATGATGATGATGATGATGATGATTTAGCTCAGGTTTCATGCAATTTATCTTAATCGTATCTTCCAATCCCGAGTATCCCAGATAAATGATTTGCGCAAAAGATTTATTCGAGAAAAAAAAAAAAAACCAACACCCTTTCAATTGATGAGAAATGAATATCGAGATGTCGCAAATAAATGCCGGGGATATGATCCGGTTTAAATTTTAATTATTTCCCTGCGTTCTCAAGTTACGCAACCAACATTATTTAATAAGCTTACAGGTAGGATTATGCAAAATATTGAGAATCTTATGTACTTTATTCGGACCTAAATTTTGGTGAGACATGATATGCATGACGGTTAATATGACGGTCGTCGCTCACTTTTTTTTTTTTTTTTTTTAAGCTCAGAAGAAAGTGCATCCCTTTTTACGGAGTGAATTTTTTTTATTTTTAAAAAATTAAAAATAAAATAACCTTAAAAGATTTTTTATAAATTACACGCATAATTAATCAAATTAATCAATCAACTATATTCTGTCAATACTATCAAATCTCCATTTTTTTTTTTTTATTTTTTATTTTTAATTTTAATTTATTTTTTTTTTTTTTCTTATTTGTATCTCCCCCCGCTTTGATTTGAAGATCACAGGGTTCATAGGGTTCATGCAAGTATATTGGCAAATCACAAATCAACTCCGATGATTTGTTTAGGAATTATTAGTTGAACATGTAGTTCAACAATCAAATGAATAATCTTGGTATTAGAAACAAGAATCAAGAACAAATTAAAGGTAAAAAGGGTTCAAAAAGAATAAACTAAACAAAAACCAACAACAACTACAACGACAACAACAACAATTGCAACAACATAAAAAAAAAATAAAAAAAAAATCTGCATTCAACTTTACGATGCAACAAATGTTGGTTAGATCCGGGATTTCATTTGATACAATCACTTTAATACACACGAATTCCGAGTAAGTTCTATGAAGATTATTATGATTATTTTACTTCATGCAAAACATTTTTGTTTTGAAAGCACACAAATCAAACAATATCACAATGATATTATTGTGTAATGCGAAAAAAAAGATTTTCTATTTTTAAATAACAAATTAGGAAGGTCGTCAAGAGTAAAAAAAAGTTTTTTTTATTTCTCCAGATAACTTCCTTATGCAAACGAAATATTCATTTTACAAATCATTCTTGGTTACATTTCACATCAATCATGTTTCCTACCGTTTCAAATGCAAATAAAAGTGCACGGTTATATTTTATTCAATAACCTTCCTAAACGTTACGATACAATCATCATCTTTTAAAAGAAACACAACCTTTTGATTGAAAAACAATAAGTTATTTCTAAATTTAACAAATGTCTCATTGTAATATAAGAAACGAACTGTCTAACGATGCAGGTAAATGTAATATTTGTGTAAATTAATAACCCGCCTTATCTTTATCAGAAAGAAATCTGACACATTAAAATTAATTATACCTATAGTACTGTACATCACACCATTGGTTTTTTTAGTCCTGTAGTAGCAAATTTAAATGAATCGTTGTGAGTTTGAAATTTCCTTTGGTCTATAACTCTCGTAATCATCGGCAATGATAATTTTTCATTTTCATGAAACTTCTATTGGGAAAACAAAAAAGCACTCCCAACGTTTTTACAAAAAAAAAAAAAATCTTTCTGACAAATTTCATACTAAATTTCCTTATGAATGATTGATAATATTTATTGAATTCAATTTTCAATTCCACGTGAGAATTTTATAACTGATTTTTTTTTTTTTAAAAAAAAAAAAAAAAGAGGCTTTTTAATAAGAAGGGATGACAACATATGAATCTGTATAAAATTTTGCAATAATAATAATAATAATAATAATAATAATAAATAATCATAAAAAATATTCGTATTATTGATTTAATTAATTAATTATTTTATTTAATTAATATTTTTTTTTTTCGTAAAAAAAAGAAATTAAAATTATTTATGCGTCACACGACGATAAAAAACAGTTATTCTATTAACCTTTTAAAAAATTTAAAAAAAAAAAAATTTACAAATTGAAAAACGAAAAAAATGCATTTGATTTGAAAGGGAGTCTATTCACAAAATTAAAAAAAAATAAAGGGGGGAGAAAAAGAATTTCTAAAGTTTATGCAAGAGAATAAAAAATTATTTACAAATACTGTTGA